CCGCTCATGAAAAAAGGACTCTACAAAGACAGTATGTTCCTGCAGTCCCTGTCTAATTTGTGCATTTATACTTTTTTAATACTTTCTTTTAAATCTCCTCTTAAGAAGTATCATGCTCATTAAATCCCCATCCAACAGTTCAGAGGTTTCTTGAAAGCCTTATCGTCCTAAATGGAATTGTTCCGGGGAAAGAGGGACTGAGAGTCGTGCAGCATGAAGCAGACAGCCAAGCTGTGTTTGCCACCCTTTGATAATGAAGTCCAAGACAGTTTCAATGGATAGCTAACCTTTCTCCTGCTGTTCCTCAGCTATTAATAGTTCTGTTCTTCCAGAAGAAAAGACAGGCAAGGCAAGCGAGCCTTACAATGCCTCTTTGCAGAGGTTTCAAAGTGCCATAACTGCAGCACTGTTATGAAGCATAATACAAAAACGTAATGGGAAATCAGCAATAATTGATGGTCTTGATAAAGGCTTTTGCTGCAGTTATGTGATAATTAGAGGGTTTTAAGGTCATGTTTACCTTCATATTTTTATTATTTCATTACTTTTTTATAGCTGTTATATATACTGAAGAAAAGTTCACCTTTCAAGCAGCGCAGCAACACAGTGAAGCACAACTCTTCTGTTGATCTGTTGAGTAAATCCTGGTCACACTGATTATTGCAGGTGACCCCCTTAGTTTATGAACAAGTAAGATGTGAGACAGACCTCTGCCTGGCTGTGTTTGAACACTGCTGTGATTTCTCAGTTGCTATAAACCACATGTCACTTGTGTTTTAGTTGGCTCATTGATGAGGAGTTTGGCAGCTAATGAAACGTTTTGACGAACAGGTTTACCATATATGATAATGAAAGCTGATCGGTTTACATATGTGTTTATATCATTCACAGGAATGTTGTCAGGAGCTGCAATTGTTTGATAAAATGTATAAAGGTAATAAAGGTAAAATGTGTGAAGCATTGTGGTGCGACATTGAAGCCACAGCTTATAAATGATATTATCCTGATGTAAAGGAAACTGCTTAGTTGGTACAATACCCTGCAGAAAGTCACATCATATTAAATGTTTGTATATGTATTTTAATTTGAAGTGCAAAAATGCAAAAATTTCAACTGAAATCACAATCGCAATATCTGCCACGATAATCGCAGTATGCACTTTTTGTGCTTATCCTTCAGCTCTACAATTAACCTGACCTGCATGTCTTTGGACAGTGAGAAGAAGTAGGGGAAACCCACGAAGGTTTATAATATACAATAGGCAAGTGGTTATCTTCATTTTCTACGACTGTAGTACAGAAATGCATTTATTCACTCACAGTCATATTCTATAAATACAGTGATGTATTCCTCCTCCTCTGTTGGTCGGGACAAACAAACAAAAAAAGCACATGGTATTCTACACATGAACCCTGTTCACAGCAATGATTACATTTGTCTACAGCCTTTGTTAAACCACGCTATACAACAGAACGATATACCAACCACGTTCTAAAGGGTGTTTGGTTCGTCTTTCAGTGATTTAAATTTGGTATTTTGCCACACACATGCCTCATCTCAGCCAAGTTAACAGAGGGTCGAAATGATTTATTCCATACTAGAGTATAAAAACTTAAAAACAGTATTCAAGATTTGACATTCATGGTAAATTAAATTAAAAACCACATAAAACCAACCACTGATTAAATATAAAGTTGCACGGCTTCTTGTTTAACAGTTTCCAGATGTTGCTCCCCACAGTTATCTGTAAAACAAAACACCTTCCCATAAAACGTTTATCTGAATTGCATACTCTTATGAGGTATGCAAATGCCAAAATGCTAACCCTTGTAATTTGTCATAATTTTAAAGGGCTTTTACTTTAAAGCCAGGGACTTGAAGCATTAGAGCATGACAAACAGGAAAATACACACCGCGGTAGGTATTTCTATCAGCTGGAAATTGTTTTTTAGCATCATTCCAGTTAAACTAGATCACCAAATCTTCCCAACATTATGATTCAATGACTTAATCACCTTTTTAGATCCCCCAATGTTGGTAAAGTCGACATGCTTAAGCCATTTTTCTGCACAATAAAACAAGAGTCCCGACCTTTTCCAACTCATGTCCTACTTGAAAATCTCAAAAATGTTGACGGCCCACATCCGACCCCGTAACAATAGGGAGGTCAAATGAACGAACTGAATGAACCGAAAGTTTTTCTTTTTTGTTTTTTCAGGAGAAGTCACTTGTCGATCTGTCGGTTGACTTGCTTTCCTTTTAACTCTGCTTGTTGCTAATCAGCTATCCATTTTAATGCTTCTTTCTTAATTGATTATTTCTATTTTTTTTTTTTTTTTTTAATAATAATATCTTTTCACCAAAATTGTATTGTTTGGCAAATGATTAGTCAGCCCACTTGCAATATGTTCACGGCACAACAGTGGGCCCCCGGTCCACAGGTAGGTAACCACTGGTCTACAGCAGTACTATCCACTCTACCACTCAGTGAGGTGCTATGGTACACACTGTGAAGAAATTAAATTAATTAAATTCAAAATGTTTTTTATTCCTTAGATAAAACATGTCATGACAATCCATCCAATAATTATCAAGACATTTTGCTCTAAACCAAAAATGACCACCTGACAGTGGCGCTAGATGAATAGTTAGGGATCACCAAAGTCACTGTGGTTCATCCCCTGGGGACCATGATCACATGATATGAGAATCCACTGAGCAGTTGTGGAGATGGTTCAGTCTGGACAGACTGACCAACCAGCACCGCCATCCCTAACGCCACACTGCTAAGCATGACTTAAAGTCATCTGTGTCCTCAAGGTGAATAAAACAGTTGAACTCTGTTCGCACAGTCTCAAAAACATCATCTAAAATTTGTCATTCAACAATTATCAGCATCAAATGATTTACTTTGCAGGAACTGTTCTCATGTTGTCAGTCTATTATAACTTACAAAGTACCACAGTTTTCCAGATTGTGGCCGATGAGTCGTTTTGTCAGAGTAGGCATCACATTTTTCACATGCTGGATATCTGCCGCTGTCTTCAGCCTAATTGTTTTTCCAACCAGAAGCTTACTCCCAGATTCCAAAAAGGTGCAGACATTCCCAGAAACACATCCTTCTTTCTGCTGACTCACTGCTCTCGCTCTGTATTTTGCGAGGAATGTTCTGCAGTTGTTGGCTGAGCCGCTTTGACAGACCCACAACAATCAAGCAGCAGAGGTTTTTTTTTTGTTTTTTTTTAAAACCAGTGTTTCCTGGTAGGGAAGGTGCTGCAAGAATTCACACATCACATCTGGACCACACATACTGACACGACTGCGCAAACGAAAAAACCAGATCATCACCAACAGCTCGTTATTACACCTGATGGGTTCATTTGTTTTCTCAGATATTAGGAAGACTAATGGGTCATAAACAACGACAGAAAGGCGGATGAAGAATGAGATGTTACGCAAGAATTTTTCACCAGATTTCATTAAAGTGAGAGTGTGTGTTTGGTCTGTGGATCTTCATTATCTTTGCATTTGGCAAAGCATGAGCCATAGCAGCTATAATGACCCAAACCATCTGTAATTGATTTTATATCAAACATCAGGAAGCTCAATTCCCATCCTGATTGATGGAAAGGGTAATTTCTGTTAAATCCCGACTCTGTGGTTCAGGACACATCTGCCAAGCTCAGGAAATCACTTATAGCTTAATGCGCTGGTATTATGACAACACACACCTCAATTCTCAGATGTCACATATGTTTTTGTTGAATCAGATCTACAGTACATCCAGAAGAGGCCCATCGACAGCTTACATCCTACTCTGCAGGAACTACTGCTGCTACTTCAAGAGCTACTGCAGGAAAGACATTTACAAGCATTTTCAATGACCAATTTTCCTTGTGTCACAAAGTTTTGAAGAAGAAAAGATCAAATCATTTTACTTGATGTTTTCCACCCACCTTTCCTGTGTCTACCATTCACTAGTGTCTGGTTTTGAGTGTGAAGGAACAAGTTCAATATTTTGGGAAATATGCTTCATTTCCAAGAGTCAGATGAGATGATCGATACCATTCTCAATGTCTGCGCTTTAAGTAAAGAGCTGACACTGGCACAGGTGGACAAAGTACACAACTCCACAAAGTATAGATACTCCTGGTCAAATATTCCTCCAATACAAGTGAAAGTTGTTCAGCCCTTTTTTTTTAAAACTTGAGATAATGTAAAGGAGTACCACATTTTTTAAATAGTATTCAAAGGATAATTTTTTATGTCAATGCATTGTTGTATTGTTCCACAGTGCATTTAGAGAAACTAATGACTCTGAAACAACCTACTGAAGCAGTGATTTACTTGTAGAACCTGTAGAATGAAAAGTGATTGGGCGTAGTAATACGGTAGGTCAACGGTTGGAAAGATATAGTTCCAAAGGAAAGGGTTAGGGTTAGGGTTACATAAAGGTAAAGATAAAGTAAGATAAAGCTGTGAAAAGCTACACTTCAAGTGATATTGGCTTCTTTTCTGTGGGCATTTTTTAAAGTGGCTAAAACTAGTGCATGGCCCCATCCACAGCAGCTCATCACTCAGCTTCTGTGCCGTTGCTCCTGGCTGCTTCTCGAATATACTGATGCGCTGACTATGAATAACTACCTCACACACTCCCTGCTTCAAAGTAATGAGATAGAAATGTAGTGAAGTCAAAAAAAACAACCCTAGAAACGTGTAGGTGCAATCCTTAGTGTCTAGCTCTGTTCAAAGTTCAACCATAAACCTACCAACACCTCTATAGCCCCATAATGAAGTCACTGTACTTCTGTGCCATCATTTATGAACATGTCTGAAAGTAGAACTCAAACACAATCTCAACAATCTCAAAAGAGACGTCAAGCACGCACAGGACATAAGGCAGAATTAAATGATTTTTTATTCTCAGATATGCAATAATTCAAATATAGATACACAGGATTTTGGATTATATTACAACTCAGTGTGAGCTGTAAACTGTCCTAGACTTCCCAGCATGGCCGGTACACTCGTCCCACCATGCACCTCATGTTGTCCCTCCTCAGGATGGGGATGGTCTGGTCCTGGCCGGCGTTGTTGTTCTCGGCGACCTGTCCGTTGGAGTCAGCTCTCCGCTTGTAGAGGGGAATTCCATTGTGCAGCACCCGCAGGTCCCTCCACAGGCTCGGATCGGCGATGACGATCACCCTCGGCCCTCTGGTTTTCCCCGCAGTGGCCATGTCTGCATCGCTGAGGCTGGTTTCCGTCGCCTCGTCACTCAGCAGCGAGGCAAAACTATCCTGCTCCAAGGAGGCATCTTCAGTCTTGGCCATGGGTAATGCTCCTGACAGTGCATAGCACTTGAATAAGAGTGCTGCGGCGAAGATGACGGACACGAGTGACTGTCTCATGGTGAAGGTCTTCTCAGAGGTATGAGGCGTTGGGGTTGTGGGTGAATTGCTTCCCAGAGCTATTCCTTCGCTGTTCTGATCCTGGGATCGTATCGTGGTCTTTTATACCATCTCGGACACACTGGATAGGCCACGCTGTCATTTTTCATCATAGCTTCTCCTGTTGTGTTCAGGAAATTAGCTAATAGCATTAAAAGGCAGTTGGGTAGAGCTCTTACAGTGTTCAAGTGTGTTGTTTTGCCGGAAAGTTAATTAAAATCATCTCCAGTGTGGTGGCTGATATTGCGCTCTTGATGATGAAACAGTGGGAATTCTTTGAACAGGTGACACCAAGAAAAACATTAATCCAACACTGGTGCCCTTTAAAACAACAAAGATGGATTACCCACCCGTGAAGCTCTTTGTGGTGTCAGATACACCTTGATGAAAGCTGTCCTGTCGCAGCATTGTTGCAGCGATGTTCAATCAGGGATTTAACCTTGGATTATTGCAAAAGAAAAGAAACAAATGAATCCTGAAGTGTGTGTTTGTGGCAGCAACTCCTCATCGACGTGTCAAAGAGGAAGTTGACGAAGATGATGAAGTAAGTAAACGTTTCATTGAGGAGAATATAGTGGATCTGCTCCCATGGCCTTGTGGTGCAAGATGACTTAATCTGCAGCGTAATCACAATCCTGCCTAATTACAGCCGCCAGATGGGTGCTACAGGAGCTGTGCACACCTGTCCCTGCATAGAATCCATATTAAATTAGTTCATGTAATTTATGCAGGTGACATTTGAGTCGGATAAACATGTTGACAAAAAAGTTTTTCTTTGTGATTTGGATGATTTCATGTCATCTGCTGTTCCAGAAAAACAGTTTTTTTGGGTAGATCTAGATCTTTTAGATCTTTGGAGCAGACGCTGCAAATAATAATCTAATTAGTGCTGAAAAGTTTCTTAGATTTAAAGGTCCAATGTGTAACATTCAGAAAATCCAGTAAGGTAAAACAGTAAGGTGACACACACGAGAGTGAATATGATTGTCCGGCATCATGTTGATAGATGAGGTAACTAAAGTTACTCTGGTATTATGGTTTGACCATAATAGACTGTGTGTGTGTGTGTGTGTGTGTGTGTGTGTGTGTGTGTGTGTGTGTGTGTGTGTGTGCGTGCGCATGCATAGTGGGGTATTTAAAGTCAATGAGAAAAAGATTTGCAATTTTTTCTTGCATGATAGATGAGGCTCTACAAGAGGACACACACACTCTTGAAGATGCACTTCAATGCATCAAAGATGGCGCATTGCTGAAATCAGTGTCTCGGAAATTTGGCATAACACCGAAAACTCTAGTGAAGAGGCCAGGCCATATTCATCTGGGGGAAATATCTGCCTTCACTGCAAAGTTTGGAAATGATCTGGTATGTCACATCCAAAATACGGAGAGAGCTCTCCTTGGACTAACATCATGGGATGTACAGAAACTGACCTATGACCTCCTCCACATCCCACAGGCCACCAGCCTTGCACAAGCAGTAGGTAGTGGGTGAATTCTTTGGTGTTTATGAAAACATGCTTTAGAAGCAGAACAACATATGTACAACCAAGCTGTGGAACATGGATGAGACAGGAGTCCAAAGCATCCTGACACCCCAGTCTGCGGTGGCAACGAAAGAGGTTCTACAAGTTGGGAGGATGACCAGCCCTGAAGAGGATATAATGTTACTGCTGTGTGCACTATGAATGCTACAGGGCTATTTGTTCCTCCGATGCTTATCTTCCAGAGAAAGGGAATGATCGAAATCCTGATGACCTCTTGAATCTGTGGGAAGTTTTCGATTCTGGTCGGATCGACAGCGGCCTATTTGTGGAGTCGCTCACCCACTTTGCGAAGAAGGTAAATTCCAGAAAGAATGATCCACACATCTTCATACTTGATGGGCACCACTCACTTTAAACTTTAGAGGCTGTTAATCTGTCAAAAGATCTTGGCATAATCATGAGTTCACTACCGCCCCACCGCAGCCATAAAATGCAGCCCCTCAACAGAACCTTTTTCAGAAGCCTGAAGTAGCTAAATGACAGACGACCAAAAACCCTGGGCAGTGGATAAGTATATATGAGATTGCTGGCCTTTTTGGTGATGCCTTTTGGTCTAAAAGAGAGTGGAAGGGTTCAGGGACTGTGGCTTTATGGCATGTAATAGGGACAGTTTTTGGAGAGGAGGACTTAATTAACAACTGAGGCCGCTGGTTGAGTGAACGCTGGTGCAATCTGGCTGCCACTGCTCTCCAGATCTTTAAATGTCTCTCTGTTAACTAGTAGTTAACTCTGCCTACGCTTGCCAGAGTTTTCTCTTTGTTCAGGTTTAATGATAACTAAATGTATTCAGGGTAGCGGAGGTCACCAAGGAGCTAGAGCCTGCCCTACAGCCTACTCCATCCACCTCCAAGGCTGCACCACCTGTCCGCCGATGGAGTGTGTGTGGAATTGTCCCGTCCTCATTCTGCAATCCTGCAATGACTGCTTTTCTTCTCTTTTGTTCCGACCCCCCACTCACCTGTCCGCAAACAGCAAGCACACAGTTCTGTCCGCCAGTTCTGAGCCGTGGGGGGGTGTGGTGCATAGGTTGATTCATACTCCTACACAACATCACAACCAGAGATAAACTCGAGTAAGACACCCCCCCCCCCCTTAAGAACAATAACTATTTTCTATTTTTTCTAAATAAATATATTTATTAGATATTTTACTTGCTGTTTTAGCAGTTTTAATAATTTTTTTTAAACTGTCTGTGTTGCTTGTAGTTCTTAACAGTAGAAATATATTCCTGGCATAAAAAGAACTTCACACTATTTTGTGACCCTTGCATGATGCAGTAACTGCATTTATATAATGTGATGGCATTACTACTTAGCTAGTTTTTATCAAGCATTGTTTATGTAGCTTTTACAGACAGACTTAGCAATGTCAGCTGTCAAATTATCTGGATTATAACGCTGACCAGACATCTCAGTTTATCCAGGATTGTCACAGTTTCAAGCTGGGTGACAAATATCAGTAAAACACCGAACTGTCCCGGTTCTCACCACATTTAAAATAATATAATATTACAGGCCCTATTGTTTTCAGTGTTTATGTTTTAATTGTTTTCAGTCATTATTACCTAACCCAATATAAAAACAAACAATGCACAATGTGTCTGAATTTGACGCTGATCCGTCTGTATGTCAATCAATGTGTGAGTCATAGGCAACAAATCCTGTCAGCATGCTAACGGTTAGCTCTATTAGGTACCGGCAACATAAAATGATGCGTTCAGAACATGCATGTTGAAATGTTCTGCTCGTACGCGTACATATGCGCATACATGTGCATGAATGTGTGGTAGCCTACACTTACCAGTCCCAGTTTGGGTGTTTGCAAATATGGTCACACGACGCTAACGGTTAGTGAACCAGACAGAATATTATAAGACTGACTTCAGTATTGACATGATAGTTTCATTCACAACTCTCATTTCGCTACTTTAATATCTCTGTGTAATAGACCTTTTATATTGTCAAGTAACGTTACAGAACTGAATGGGTCTGACAATGGGTTGAACTTACGTCAGTTATAAAGATGACAGCAGTGGGATGAGTAACGTTGGCCTCAGACTTTGAGGCAAGGCACTTGGGAATGAGCATAAACGTCACATCCACTGGATTTGCCTGAAAAATTCATCTTGAATCCTTTCCATAGAAATCCTGTTACAGGCAGCCGAGAACGTCTAATTTTTTTTTTACGTTACGTTACAATGCATTCACACATTGGTAATAAAAAAGCAGTTTATACATGTAAATTGCTTCAAATTCTTACATACAGTGCCTTTAACACTGCTGAACACAGTACTTTAAAAGAGGATTTGAGATTTAAATGATGTGATATGCAGCACATTACAAAACTTTGATGGCTAGACTTATAATTTGGTGTCATTAAATTGTTAAGGTTATTTTAGAACTGGTAATGTGCAGCTGGGCAGCTCAGATGGGAAGTTCTGTGGACCATTTCTTATTGAAAACCATGTCTGTGGTTTCTAAAAAAGTCTGGCATTTGAGAATTATCTACACCCTGTTTTTATTACTGTCTGAAAGGCCCTGTGTGGTTTTCTGGAGACAGACGGTTTTGTTTAAATCTTATCTTTCATTCCTTGATGTCAGATATTCATATGTATAATTGATCGGACGGGTGGAGCTCTCCCTATGCAGGAGGTGTTAATCGTGCAAAAGAGAATGTCCCTCTCTTTGATAAAAACCATATGGATCTGTAAAATAAAGGTGTTTCAGGTTTTTCTTTTTTAGCACATAATCTCTCATCTTGAAAATATTCAGAACACTTTGTCATACATTCCCTGTTCCATGACCTGCACTCAGTTTGTCTATTTACACTGTGAAGAATTACTTCCTCAAGAGAGAAAAGCAACATAAAGAACATGATAGCACTTTTTAGGGCGACTAATATACAAACAAGATGGTCTCATGAAGCATGATGTCCATGGCAGGACATTATGGAGGAAGGCGTTGCTCTCCAAGAGAAACATCACTGCGTGCCTGAAGTTTGCCAAAAAGCAGCTTGACACTCCTCAACACCACTGGGAAAATGTTTTATGGACTGATGAAACTAAGGTTGAATTGTTTGGGAAGAACATGCAGCACTATGTATGGTGCAGAAAGGACGGTGCATACCAACGTGAAAACCTCATCCTGATGGCAAAGGAGGGCGGAGGGAGCATCATGAGTTGGGTCTGCTTTGCTGCCTGTGGGCCTGGACAGATCGCCATCGTCGAGGGGAAAATTAAATCTTACAGGATAATGTCAGGGTGGCTGTCGCCAGCTGAAGCTCAGTAGAAGTTGGATGATGCAGAAACATCAAAGTAAATCTACTACAGAATGATTTCAAACAAAAAAAAAAAAGCTGCCTTTTAGAGCGGCCCTTGTCAGAGCCCAGAAACTAGATCCAGTAGAGATGGCGTGGAAT